ATATATACACACACACTCATGTGTACAGCATATATATATACACACACATTCATGTACAGCATATACATATACACACACACACTCATGTGTACAGCCATAATATTCACAATAGCCAAAAGGTGAAAATAGCCCAAATGTGCATCAACAAATAAATGGATAAACAACATGTGTTACATCCACATAATGGAATATCATTCAGCCATAAAAGGAATACTGATGCTTCCATTCAGTGGATGAACCTGGAAAACATTATACTAACAGAAGCCAGACGCAAAGATCACGTGTTGTATGACTGTATTTATATGAAATAGACAGAATAATAACATCTGTAGAGACATCTACAGATTGGTGGTTTCCAGGGTCAGGGGGAAGTGGAGTGATTGGGAGCAACAGCTTAATGTGTATGGGGTGTCTTTTGGGGGTGATGAAAATGTTGAAACTAGATAGAAGTAGTGGTTGCCCAACACTGTAAATGCATTAATTGCCACGGAATTGTTCGCTTTAAAATGGTTCACTTTATATTACGTGAATTTCACGTCAATGTAAAAAAAAGAGAGAGAAAGAAAAAGGCCTCAGTGCTCTTACCAGTAAAAAGAGGCTAATGACACTACTTATTTCATGGAGAGGTGGTAAAGAATAAAATAAAGGTGCAGGTGGCAGCATTCAGCTACTGAATAAAGGGTAGCCAATCTTCTCTGAATGCGGCTGTCTGGGGTTGCACCAAGGGATGCCCCAAATCTCTTTCCTGGCCCCTAGGGAACGTGGCTTAAGTTCTGGCGCAAAGAACCGAAAAGCCCAAAGAGCTGCAGCTGCGAGGTGGCGCCTAACGCGCTGGCCCTCTGCTGCGGTCACAGCCGTGCTCCTTGCTGCTGGCTAGCGCTGAGAGCAGAGCAGCTCTCCCAGGACTGGGCAGGGGATCCCGCAGGCGGCAGGAAACCCGCGGGTCTTTCCCTACCTGAAAGCTGCACGGTTGGCCACCAGGGCGCGCTGCTGGAGTCGCCTTTCCCAGAAATCGGGCAGAGATTTAGGCCTTACAGTTACTTAAACTTGTAGCCCTCCCAGTAGCTGTGGAGTCTAGTAAACGTGGGTTCTGCCGGGTTCACCAGTCATCCCAGGCTGTTGAGGGGCCGGTAGGGGGCCCGTGGGCCAGAGGAGACTCCAGGCTTCTCTCCCACTCGTCTCTGGCCTGCACCCCCTCTCGGGTAGAGGCTGCACCTCCTGCTTGGGTTCAGCCATCTCCAAATATTGCATCAACATCCCGTGCCTCTGCCTGCGGGGCTGGGCCAGCACCAGAGACTCAGGCGAAGCGCCAACCGCCCAGGGGCAGCAGCTGGCGAGTTGAGGTTGGTCTCTCTGCTGAGGGTTCCGGGAGCTGGGGATCCTGACCCCACACACTTTGCGTGTGCCACAAAACCACAGCTTTCCTTCCCACCCAGCGTCGTCTGCATGAGAAAGCATCACCTTTGCTTCCGGTTTGATGCGCCAGTTCTTAGCCAGGCTGGAGGCAGCCTGGAATCCCGGATCTTCTACTGACACCCCTAGTCTCCCTCGCCGTCCTCTGGGGGACGTCCCTAACCCCTGAGGCTGCACCACAGGCAGAGCTGCCAGAACCTCACCACCGCTAAGATTGCTACCTGGAGATTCCTGCTTGCCCCCAACCCCAGGTGAGACCCCTGCATGCATCTATGGCCCAACTTCCGTGTTCTGGGGCCGTCTCTACAACCTGCTTTGCATTCCTACCAGATCCAACTCATTGCCTCCCCCACTTGACCTGATTCTCTCTATGTGCACTTTCTTTGGATTTAGGGAAACAGCAGCAGTAAACCCCAAAGACTTAACACGGGGAGCTTTTTAACAGCCAATGATGTTTGTGTGCCCCAGTGCACTGCTCTGAAGCTTTCCCACGCACTGGGGCCCAGGTTTCTTTCTGGCATGTTGCTGCCTTGTTTACTCCTGGGTTAACATGGGTTTATAGGAGCTACATTACACTGAAAGTTTCCAGCCTTGTGAAGTAGCATTTCTTGCTGGTAATGAAAACAAAAGACACAAAGAATTCTAAGAAATGCCTACCGTGACACTTGAGGGCCTCTTGCTTAGTGCCAAGTTTGTCTACTGTCAGCCCCCCGATGTCTGGAAAATCTTGGATTGGTGTTGACTCTTTGGGTCCTGTGGTTTCACCCTGTGGCCCTTTGGAGGCATGTGGTGTCCTGGGTAGACCCAGGCCTTGGGGTTGATTGGACTGGTCAGATGCAACTAGAAGATGTGTTAGCTGTGTGTCCTTGGGCAAGTTACTTCATTTTCCTGAGCCTCAGTTTTCTCATCCGTCAAATGAGGGAAGAAAGAAGTAATTCAAAGAGATGTTTTGAGAATTTGGTCAGGAGGTATACATAGCAGACATGTCATAGTAAGTATTGGCTGGGATTATTAGCAAAAGCAAATAAGCCCCTTCTTTAAAGGGAACATAACTTTTTCCTAAACACCACCATCATACTTAAATTGGTGATCAAGAAATCATGTTCCTCAAGACACCCAGGAGCAGAGGCCAGGGAGAAGGGTGGTCCAGGGTGCAGGGGCACCTAGACTGCTACTTGCGCTTAGGGATGACCTGCAGCTTCAGACAAACAGCAGGAAGAAAGACTCCTTTCCACCTCCGCTGGTTTGAGGTAGAGTTGGGCCCTCTGTCTGAGTAGGGTGAGGTGGCTGGCAGAGAGCTGGAGACCCCTTCCAAAGGCTGGCCAAATGTAGTAGAGGCAGGATTGCTCTCAAAGGAATTAGGTAAAAAGCCTGCAGCCAAGTATGAGATCAAATCTCAGAAAATATCACTGCTAGGCTGGGCATGGTGGCTCACGCCTGTAATCCCAGCACTTTAGGAGGCCAAGGCAGGTTGATCACTTGAGGCCAGAAGTTCTAGGCCAGCCTGTGCAACATGGCAAAACCTCATCTCAACAAAAAATACAAAAATTAGCCAGGCATAGTGATATATGCCTGTATTCCCAGCTACTTGTGAGGCTGAGATGGGAGGATTGCTTGAGTCTTGTTGCAGTGAGCCAAGGTCATGTCACAGCACTCTAGCCTGGGCAACGGGGCAAGACTCTGTCTTGAAAACAAAAAAGAAAGAAAGAAAGAAAATATCAGAGCTGTGGGGGATCCTGGGTGAGAACTCATAAACCCAAATATCAGCTGCAGAGGTCTAACAGCTATGAAGGGACGGAGCCTGGCATAGGCCAAAGATGGGGTACATTTATCAAGCACTTACTCTGTGCACAGTACTGACCAACTGGCTCTCTATGCAGCAAACAGCAGGACCCAGACTGAATCCCGGGTGTTTTGGTAACAAAATGAAGGGGTGCTATTCAAGAGGTATAAAGTTTCAGTTATACAAGATAAACATGTTCTAAAGATCTGCTGTACTGCACTGTGCTCATAGTTAACAATACTGTGTACCCGTGTACTTAAAAATTTGTTAAGAGAGTATGAGGCAGGAGAATAGGGTCTGGGTAGGGAATCTAAGGCCGATTCACGCTGACTTCCTAGAACCAAATCCAAAGGAAAATCCTAACTTTCCCCACTTAAGTAACAGAAGGACCAGAGGCTACTCCCTTTGCAAACCCCCCTGCTTTTCTGCTCTGCAGATAGAATATTGACAGTTGCAACCAATCAGATATTTGCCTAGGAGTGTAACTATGTAACTTCACTTCAGCCTCTGATTGGTTGCTGTCCTCAACCAATCAGACTGATTGTAGTCCACTATTCATTTGCATGGGGCAAACACCTAGTGGCCAATGGGAAACTTCTAGCGGGTCTTTGGACCCCAGAAGATTCTGTAACCAGGTTCTTGAAGCCCTGTGCTCGCCTGCTCCCACCCTGTGAAGTGCACTTTCATTTTCAACATATCTCTGCTTTTGTTCCTTCATTCTCTCCTTGCTTTGTTTGTGCATTCTGTCCAATTTTTTGTTCAAAACTCCAAGAACCTGAACATCCTCCACCGGTAACAAGTAGATCTCACTTTAAGTGTTTTTATTACAACTTAAAAAAAGGCTTTATTACTTATTTATGTATTTATATATCTTTGTATACCTAAATGCATACAAATAAAGGAATATTAATAGAGTCTTTATTAAAATCTATTAGAAAATGATGTACTATAGGCGTAAAATTAGGATTTGGCTCTGCCATGTAAAATGACTCAGTTGTTTTATACCCAGATTACTGGAGGTTCTTTTTTTCACCAAATTATTCTGTTAACTCTCAGTGTTTTTCACATATTCTTAAAACGTCTTGTTAGAAATTCCCTTGGATATCCCTGACCTGATTTTATTTGTTCATATTTAAAAATGCTATCACAGATCTAAATTCACCCTTAAAGTAGAGACCACTCCAGAAATTAAATCAGCCCCAATGACTAAAATAATTGCCCTCATCTGGGTATGCTGGCTGGTAAAATGTAAAAGAGTAAGCATATACACTAATGGCAGATGCACTTTTAGGGAGTCTGTGACTTTGAAATGCTTTGGAAATGAAGGGTTTTCTAACCTCCACAAAAATCTCCAAAAATTGGATGACAGGTTAAAAATAAACCTGCCAACTGCTTTGCTGTTACCTAAGGAAATAGCTGTAATAAAAGTAGACCACCATTCAATGCACAAAGACCTAGAATTTCTAGTAATACTTTAGCTGACCGCTATGCTAACCCAAGAAGCATTCACCAAGATCAGTGCTCCTGCAATCATACAGAAAAGAGGGGTCTCGGAGGATTCAAAGAGGCCATTTTTAACTGTCAGAGCAAACCCTTGATTCCAAAAAGTAGAAAAGTGAAAAAATTTGGAAGTGGGAAAAGTTTGGGTGTTCATGGCATAAAGAGATTATTTGATGCTCTCAGGATGGCTGACACATAATGCCAAATAATTTAAAGTGGAATTTCAGAAAACTGCTTTGTGATATCACTCATAATAGCAGGGATAATTTGTCAAAAATACTAAACCAACATTGGTGGGGGTAATTTTAGATGTTTTTAAAACTTGTCCTACTGCCAATAGTGCAATCCTCATAAATGCAAATGTGGGATATGAGCAAGAACCAAGATATCGAGGGCCCTTCAGACCTCCAATTACTTTATACAAAGGGCTCCTGCAATGGACTATAAATATGTTCTGATTATTTTCTGTTGTTTTTTTTTTGTTGTTGTTGTTTCTTCAAGATGGACTAAAGCTTTTCCTTGCCAGAGAGTTGTGACTATTAACTGTGGCAAAAATTTCTGCTTCATTTTGTTTTCCAACCTGGGAATTTCTACTTATTTCTCTTTTTTTTTTTTTTTTTGAGACGGAGTTTTGCTCTTGTTACCCAGGCTGGAGTGCAATGGCGCGATCTCGGCTCACCGCAACCTCCGCCTCCTGGGTTCAGGCAATTCTCCTGCCTCAGCCTCCTGAGTAGCTGGGATTACAGGCACGTGCCACCATGCCTAGCTAATTTTTTGTATTTTTAGTAGAGACGGGGTTTCACCATGTTGACCAGGATGGTCTCGATCTCTTGACCTTGTGATCCACCCGCCTCGGCCTCCCAAAGTGCTGGGATTACAGGCTTGAGCCACCGCGCCCGGCCTTCTACTTATTTCTCTAAGGAACTCCATAAAGTTTGCCTTTTACCCAAAAACTTTACTGTTCTTAATACCCACTTTCCTCAGGAAAAACAGAGAGACCTAATGAAATTTGAAAGCTAAGATGAACAAAATTCCCTTAAACTCCTATGGTCTAAAATCTTCTCTTTTCTGGCAGGAACCATGGAGAGTGTCAAAGAGAAGAAGAATAAGGTTTCTGCTGTGCCAGAAAACCTTCAGAAAACGAGAAGGAATTTCTCAGAGCTGAAGATCAAGCGCCTAAGAAATAAGTTTGCCCAAAGATGCTTCAAAGGGCAGGGAGGAAGCTTATCTGTGAAAAAGTGAACAGGCAGATGTACAGAACTGAAATCTGAATGGTGAGCATGGCAGGAAAAGCTGGCAACTTCTATGTACCTGCAGAACCGACATTGACGTTTGTCATCAGGATCAGAGGTATCAATGGTGTGAGCCGAAAAGTCCGAAAGGTGTTGCAATTCTTCGCCCTTGTCAAATCTTCAGTGGAAGCTGTGTGAAGCTCAACAAGTCTTCAGTTAACATGCTGAGGATTGTAGAGCCACATATTGCAGGGGGTACCCACATCTGAAGTCAGTAAATGAACTACTCTACAAGCCTGTTTATGGCAAAGTCAATAAGAAGCGAATTGCTTTGACAGGTAACTCTTTGATTGCTCGATCTCTTGGTAAATATGGCATCACCTGCACGGAGGATCTGATTCATGAGATCTATACTGTTGGGAAATGCTTCAAAGATGCAAATAGGCCAGGCGTAATGGCTCACGCCTGTAATCCCAGCACTGTCGGAGGCCAAGGTGGGTGGATCACCTGAGGTCAGGAGTTCGAGACCAGCCTGGCCAACGTGGTGAAACCTCGTCTTTACTAAAAATGCAAAAATTAGCCAGGCATGGTGGTGTGTGCCAGTAATCCCAGCTACCTGAGAGGCTGAGGTAGGAGAACTGTTTGAACCCCAGAGACGGATGTTGCAGTGAGCCAAGATTGCACCACTGCATTCCAGCCTGGGTGACAAAATGAGACTCCATCTCAATTAAAAAAAAAAAAGAAGAAGCAAGTAACTTCCTGTGGCCCTTCAAATTATCTTCTCCATGAGGCAGAATGAAGAAAAAGACCACCTATTTTGTAGAAGGTGGAGATTCTGGCAACAGGGAGGACCAGATCAACAGGTTTATTAGAAGACTGTCTTCCATGATTATTTTGCTAAGCTGGTCAGTTAATAAACAGTACCTGCTTTCAAACTGAAAAAAAGAAATCTTACCTTTAGCTTCAGTGTGTATAAGATCAACCCTTTCTGGGACCCACAGGTGACCTCCTTATGAATTAATACGAGGCCAAGCTGGGTGTGGTGGTTCGTGTCTGTAGTCTTAGCTACTCAGGAGGCTGAGGTGGGAGATTGCTTGACGCCAAGAGTTTGAGGCTGTAGTGCACTGTGACTGCACCTGTGAACAGCTACTGCACTCCAGCCTGGGAACATAGCAACACCCTGTCTCTAAAAAAAGGAAAAAGAAAAATGGCCCATCCATGTATTTGAAAATTTCACCACCAATCTTAGATTTGGCTCTATTACAATTATAATGAAATATGATTAAGAATTGCCAGGGAGTCATAGAATACCTTCAGCTTTATCATCAACAGATATGATCTACATTTCCAATCCACTCACCTATGATTCACAACAAGAGATTTAGTGTTCTGGAAAAGACCTGATATAAAAAGACTGGCCTTTGAGACTCGATGAAATGGACCTTATCAGATATTGTTAGTAACTGACCGAGCAGTAATACTCCAAAATACGGATCCTTAGGTTAATTATTTCCTAGCTTAAAAGAGATACAATATTTCCTCCTGACCACTACACACCAATGCCATTGGAAATGTTAGATTCTTAGGCTTGCTCCAGAAGATGCTGACTTCAGAGGTGGATAGTTTCTGCCCGGCACTTTGGATAAAGATTAACATTCAACACCCTTTCTTGGCTATTATTCTACTTTGAAGTCATGTAAAATATCAGTTAACTTCCGTATTTTCATCCTATTACTTTTTTTTTTTTTTTTTAAGAGCCAGGGTCTCACTTTGTTGCCCAGGCTAGAGCGCAGTGGATTGTACCAAACCACTCACCTGTGATTCACAACAAGAGATTTAGTGTTCTGGAAAAGACCTGAGATAAAAAGACCGGCCTTTGAGACTTGACGAAATGGACCTCATCAGATATTGTTAGTAATTGACCCAGCAGTAACACTCCAAAATATGGATCCTTGGGTTAATTATTTCCTAGCTTAAAAGAGATACAATATTTCCTCCTGAGTACTGGACACCCATGCCATTGGAAATGTTAAACTGAGATTCTTAGCATGCTCCAGAAGACGCTGACTTCAGAGGTGGATAGCTTAGGTGATTGTACACAGCCGATTGTACATAGCTCAATAGGTACATAGCTCAATCACCTGCATAGGTGATTGTACATAGCTCACTGCACCCTCAGACTCCTGGGATCTAGTGATCTTCCGACCTCAGCTTCCCGAGTAGCTGGAATTATAGGCACAAGCCACTGTACCTGGCCCTCATCCTATTACGTCTGACCTCTTATGTTCTCCATGTACCACTTAGTAGAAAACAAAATTTTCTTGTACTTTTTTTTTCCAGATCATTGCTGCCACTCTGAATCTAACAACCCTGCTGACAAAAATTTCATAGCTGTCCTTTGAAAAACTTTACAAGGCAACCTCCCTTTAATTGACTCCTTATGGTAATTATGTTTCACTCATATCATTAATCCCAACCTTCAGTCTTTCAACAATTGTGCTCTGACTTCATGCCAACAAATTGCTTCTGCTGAGGCCATTACAAGGCCAATCAATCAGGACTAATATTGGGGCTATTCTGGCTCCATGTTGTTTGCTTTCTTCAGAGACATCTGAGCCTGCTTTGCAGAAACTATTTAATTCCACTCAAGGAATCTGTCCATTTTGAGGAACACAAAAGTGACTCATTCCCATTGCAGTAAATGATACTTTTTTTTTTTTTTTGAGACGGAGTTTCACTCTTGTTACCCAGGCTGGAGTGCAATGGCATGATCTC